TTGAACGATCACTGGCATAATATCTAGGACTGCTCATAAGCCATTTAAAATGTACTGGTACTGGTAAAACAAGAAAATACAATGGACTATAAATTTCCTGGATTATTACACCCCGCTATGAAAAAAAGTGAGAACTGTATGCACATGCACAAGATTCATTAGCTGTGGTGGTGCAATGGGTTAAATCCTTGTGCTGGCTGAACTGCTGACCTAAAGGTCAGCGGTTTGAATCCACAAGACAGGGTGAGCTCCCATCTGTCAGCTCCAGCTTCCCATGTGAGGACATGAGAGAAGTCTCCCACAGGGTGGTAACACATTCAGGCATCCTCTGGACAACATCTCTGCAGATGGCCAATTCTCTCGTACCAGAAGTGACTTGCAGTTTCTCAAGTCACTTCCGACATGATTAAAAAACAACAACCAAGATTCATTGATACTGATTGTTTCAATTCTTTACACCTTATAAATAAATGTGATAACTTTCTTTTAAAAAATCATCACATGTGTTTTCAATTATTTCTATAATAATCCCCTTGTGGGGAGAAGGGCGGAATAGAAATGTATGAAACAACTAAAATATTTTGATTTAGAGATCAATCTTTATTTTGAGTGCTAAGATTTAGCTATAACCACAGTTTTGGTAATCTGAACAGTAATTATATTTTATTGGATAGAGACAATTCCAAGGTTTTCAATGCAAAGCAAAATATTATTTGGCATATACTTGACATTTTTGGTAATATGTGCATTTTTGAACACTGGCATTGTGAACCTTATACAGACTGATATTTCTATTGAGAAAGTATTTTAATGCACAGTCACTCTTTGCAGACATTATCATCTAACATACAGTGAGAAATGGAGTGCCAGAAATTTAGAAATATACACATATCAATATCAAGGATAACAAAATGTTGTTGTTGTTGTTGTTGTTGTTGTGTTTATTTATACCCTGTTCTGAAGTCATAGCAGAGGGTAAGCAACCGTGACCTTCCAGGTGTGTTTAGAGTACAGCTTCCATAACCCCTTACCTCTGGATTAATGATTCCTAAACTCTTGTCTGCCAAGTGTTTTGTATTTCAATCCCTAGACGTTTCAGCTGCTTTGGCCAATGATCAAGGATACTGGGGGTTAAAGTTCAAAACTCCTGGGAGACCAGAGTTTAGGAAATAGTGCACTAGATAACCTTACAATCAATTTACTAGGCTTGGGTAACCACAGAAAAATTTGGTTCTAAACTCGTTTTGTTTTTAGGGGGCGTTTCGTTTGCGTTTCGTTTTTTTTAATAATTCCGAAATTTTCCTTTTAAAAATTTTGAAATATACAAAATTTCGTATAATTACGAATCGATTCGTTAATGGCGGACGCGATTGCGCAATATGCTAAAAAAACCTCCAAATGGGACAGGGGGAACTTCTGAAGCTTCCCTCTCCCTCTGTTGTTGACTGTTGGTGTGATAAAACAAACAACAACTATAAAACTTGCACCAGACATGCGAAAATAATTACGAAATAATTACGAAATAATTACAAAATAATTACAAAATAATTACGAAATAATTACAAAATAATTACGAAATAAATTGAAAAATAAATTGTTTCGAATCTAATTTACTCCTCACACTATTTCTGCATAGCTCAATATTGGATCGTAAGCTAATTTAAATACGAATTAATAACGAATTACGAAATTAATGAACGAAACCGCCCAAGCCTACAATTTACCACTAGGGCTGATGAGAAGTGGAGAATAGTGACACCAGAAAAACTACAGTTGCACACTTCTTGCCCTTCCTGTGGAAGGATGTCTTGTCAACCTCCAGAATATTTAAAGGTCAATCAGGACATTCTGCAGCCAGGGCAGAATGTGTCCACCTCTGTCTGGAAGACCTAGACATTCCTTGAAATTTGGGGATAGTAATCACCAAATTAGGGTTACAGGTATCCCTCCACATTTGTGATTTTGACTTTTGCAGGTTTAGTTATTCACAAATTAGATTAAAATCTTATTTCTAGGAATCCCTGAGCCCTTCAGTTTGACTTTATGATCAACTTCCTTCAGTCATGCTGGAAAATGTAGAGATTTACAGAGAGAACACCTCTCTAAAAATCTCTAGGTTCCCTAATATAATTCTGTGTAGACATTCCTAGGAATGTGTTCTATCAAGAAGAAAATAGCAATTTCTTTTCTTTCTTTTTTTTGCCTTTTTCTTTAATGGGAGACTTGAGCCCCTAAACCTAATGAATGTGGGGGTCTCACTGTACACAACCAGACTTCTGTGTAAAGCAATATTCCTTAAGTTTAGCCTGAAACAAGTCTTTCATGGTTTGCTGTACTGGCAATATGGCTGAAAGTTCTTCATATTTCTGTTCTGAATTCTTATCTTGGAAGGTGCTTTGAACATGGCTGCTCTCCCTTTCTCATAAGTGACTGACAACCACACATGACATTTCATGTGACTGAGTAGACTTACCATGAGACACACATTGTAATAGGTTTTTACACAAAACATATGCACATACAGACATGTCTCCTCCCTCGCACATCTCTAAAATCCAAATGTTTGTTCTTTGGTTTACACTGGAGATTGTATAAATGGTAGGATAATAATATCTGAATCAGAGATTATCTGATGTCACAGTGTGTGAAAAATGCCAATGATGCATAAATAAGATACATAAATTAACAATGGTCGCTGGCTCAATATTCATTTTCACAGCAGCCCCTCAGTCATGAGCAAATTGCTACAGAGGGATAACATTCTGGAGAAAGACAGGTTCATGTAGGATTGGGAAGACACAAAATAAAAAGCAACTTTTTACTCAAATATGGAGGGAATTTTGCAATCCTTTTCAATGGGTAAAACTGGGAAAGAAGCTTGAAATCAAGCTTAGGCCATTTTTCCTAGCACTCACAACCAACATCTTGTTCTTTACCATTGTGCTGGCCCTCTGGGGAAGGCAAAACCTGAATAGCCAAGTGAAATCATTGGACATTGTCAGTATAATGAAGACTGATATCTCCTTCGCTTTTGATCATCTGAAATCTTGAAACATGCTGTTCCTGCCTTGAAGCAAAATAATACAAAATAAAAAGGGTATGTCTGTGCAAAGGAAACACAACAGGTATGTTTGATGTATCATTTAATTTGCAATTGTTTCTATGCTACCAAAGGAGTCCTGACCTTCATAGAATAGGAGCCCATGGATAGTCTTAGCAATTCCTGCAGGGCGAAGGGACTATGGTGCCAAAATATCCCATTTAACACCCAAGTTCCTATCTTGTTCCCACATTCCCATTACAACTAACACTCTCTTCTTCAAATTATAGAATTGGAACATGAACAGTACTATTAAAAACCATCTGGAATAATGAGGACCATGCAATGAAAGTAAAATCTGGGCTCTGTATTGTTTGGCTATTTGCACCTTTCTATGGATAGGTTCTTGTGGGTTTTTTCGGGCTATAGGGCCATGTTCTAGAGGCATTTCTCCTGACGTTTCGCCTGCATCTATGGCAAGCATCCTCAGAGGTAGTGAGGTCTGTTGGAATTAGGACAATGGGTTATATATCTGTGGAATGGCTGGGGTGGGGCAAAGAGCTCTTCCCTGCTGAAGCTAAGTGTGAATGTTTCAACTGACCACCTTCATTAGCATTTGAAGGCCTGGCTGAGCCTGGGAAAATCTTTTGTTGAGAGGTGTTAAGATGTGGCTGGTTGTTTCCTCTCTGCTGTTTTGCTGTTGTAATTTTAGAGTTTTTTAATACTGGTAGCCAGATTTTGTTCATTTTCATGGTCTCTTCTTTCTGTTGAAATTGTCCACATGCTTGTGGATTTCAATGGCTTTTCTGTGTAGTCTGACATGGTGGTTGCTGGTGTGGTCCAGCATTTCTGTGTTCTCAAATAATATGCTGTGGATGGATATTTGGTGCATAGTTCAATCTTAAACTCACTACTGCCAATTATGCATTCAATGCCGAATCTAGTTTCTCGCCTCCATGATCTCAGCATATACAGCTTGCAAAAATGTTAGCTAGAGCTGAAAAAGAAGCTCAAAAACAAGCTGGAGGGGGAAGGCTTGAACAATTACTTTTAATCCCCATTTTTGTTTTTTAATTGTAGTCTACTTGAATATATCACACTTCTTACTCTTCCTACTCCCCACAGAGCACCTCATACTCTATAATCGCTACACAATTAGTTAAGAAAGCAAAACCTGTACTGTGGTGAAAAGTACACACAGACATGATACAGTGTACATTCTCCCTTATTCCAAAGCTCCAGAAATAAAAATGAATGATGTCAAGATAAGCAGATGCCTTTTTAATAACAGATTCTAATGTTGGCATTCATCTGTTTCACATGAAGATGGGGCGGGGGGGGGGGGGGGGGGTGACTGGTTGTATGGAGTGGATACAGCCATTCTAGGGAACACTTTCATATATACTGGAATAGTGACTACGGCAAGATGGCAGGCAACCTGATGCTCTCCAAATATCTTAGGCCCTTGCCATTGGTGAATGGCTATACTGGCTGCTGGGATTGATGGGAGCTGTCAAAGGAAATATCTGGAGGGTCCCAGGCTTCATGTCTCTAAACTGCAATGGCCTTCTTGAAAAATGTTGCTTACGCAACACTGAATATACATAGTAGGAAATATAGATTTAATTTGCAAGAAATTAAGATTTCCAATGTGTTGGGCAGTTCTTTTCAAGGCAGGAACACTTTGTTCATTACAGAACAGCTAATGTAGACTTTTAGACTTAATGTAGACTTTTAGTAACTACAAATAAAGAAAAAACCCTACCTATATATGCATAGCAATTACAAAGTTTATACAGTTAATGTTTATGGTGTACAGATTATGAATTAGCATAATTCTGTTTTGATCTCCATAAACATTTGTACAAAATTCCACTTTTGCTTTGACAGACAAGCATATTTTGATTTTAATTCTGACCAGGGAAACATCCCCAAGGAAGTTGAACATGTTCCATCTTACCTTGAACATCTGAAATGGCTGTGGTGTTGTTAACCTCCAACCTTTTCCCAACTCCATCTACAGAAAAAAGGAGATTACCTCCATTCATGAGCTTTGCACATTAGCAGTTTAATCTGTCAATGTACCAATGTAAGAGAGAGGTTCTCATGCTGTGATATATGTGACCTGTAGATGCTAAATCTCACTCTAGAAATTCTCTTTGTAACATACACAGTTTTAGTTTATATACAGAGAGATTTCCAATCCAGAAAGTTTTTTATTCAAATACAATGCAGTCTAAAAGTTGCACATGCAAGAATTCTTGTATAACCAAATCCGAACCTGGACAAACATGCACATCCTACAATTAACCCCAATGGTAGTGCCCACTATCCAGATCTCAGGTTTTGCTGGGGACAAGGACCCTAGTATTTTCCACTAGTGCTGCTATTTGGCCGTTCCTATCTTCTTGTTTCTTCCCCATAGCATTAGCATGTCAGCAATATCAGCTACAGAGTAGATGCTGTTTTGATTCTTTTAAAATGGCCAGAGCTCTGGGGGAGGTCCATGCACATGCTGCAAACACTTTTACAGATACACACCCTATGAGCAGATGGTTGAGCACAGGTCCATGCCCCTACAATTATTACAACAATGTGGAAGAGAATGCCTAAAGAAAGCTTCTGTCTCGAAGAGGATCAAATGAAATAAGATGGATAAATTATAGCCTATCCACAGTCCGAGAAATGTTGGGTTAAAAAAACAAATTGTTGGGTATTCAAAAAGCTTTTATGAGAATATGACAAAGCAAGACTATGTGTCAGGATGCATTCTAAGAAAAGTACGGTAAAATGAAGAGAAAGTGTTTTAGACCAGAGATAGCAGCATATAAGTAACAATTGCAGGACTGTGGCAGGAAACAGCAACACGAAAATGGTTGTCGTACTACAAATGTTATTGGTACCAATAAAATATATAAAAGTACATAACTTCCATTAGTACTAACAAAATCTATTAAATCACAGTCTTTTTTAGTCTTTGAAAAGCTGGTCATTTAATGGCATGCATTCAGAATTACCACCTCAGAGCTTAAATGACCCTCAATGTAAGTAATGGGCTCACTTCAGAAAAACCAGAGTTTCTGTTATGAAAATAAGGAAGGAGAGGAGAAGAGCTCACATATTTTCTCCTCCTCTCTCCTCCCCTGTACCATCTAAAAACTCACAAAAATGTCTCACATAATTTTATTTAAAAATCTATTTCTCCATCTTGCTATAAAGGTAGGATACACAATAAAAGCACAATATGGCAATGTAGTAGAAGCAGAAAGTTAACATGCAAGGCAAGTTTTCACACCAATATTGATGACTGTTCCAGGTTTGGCCAGTTTGGGCTATTCCCAGTATACTATAAATATTCAAGTACAAGTCAGAAAAAAATAAAAAAGCCACCTCCCAAGAGATGTGTCAACTGATACACTGGTTGATGCTGAAGTAGGGACTCAGTGAAGGCAATGACAATAAGCAGAGGCATATAGCTCCCATTCCATTATCCTTATTCAAAATGGAGAAAGATATGTATCCCTCAATCCCTGCCTTCCCCCTCACCTTTTTTTCTGCATGAGTAGAGTTCAGCAGGTAGAAAAAAGGGGAGCCAGAAAACTCTGATGCACTAACCATTTTGGGTGCTTTAGGTGGAGTGGAATGGCAGCTGCCATTTTTAATAATGATTTACTGCATAAGGCTCTCTGCAAAAAAATCCCTAGCTATTTTTAATAGGGGGTTACTGTAAAAGTCTGTCTGCACATCCTCTGCTTCTCTTTCCTTCTTTCTATTTCTAAGCCTTTAAAATAAGAAGAAAATATTTCTTTGTTATATACTTCTAGCTTTTTCCCTTGTTGTATCGACAGGTTGAAGGTTTCAAACCCTGTCCTTGACTTATATATGAGATTAACTTATAGCAAATATATATGGCAATTCTACTTCTGTTTAAGACTTGGGTCCTGTATAAGTGTGGGCAAATGTTGTCAAAGTCAAAGTAAATAAAATATTACTACATTTCAATGATCCTCCCAAATGTGATGCTAAAGAACAGGAAAAAATAGAGCCAAGCTTCGGATTAATATTCTCATTTTCATAAGAGGAAGCAGCCAGATACCATAATTTCTTAGAGAAACATGATAATTCTTGAACAGAAGTGAACAAAGTGTGATTCTTGGACTGCATCCAGGGTTTTATAGCCCTGATTCTCCCACAAATACATTTCTTATACTAGACACTTTTAGGAACTGTGGATAGATCAGGAATGGGATGCAGGGGTGAAATAATGAAATCAGAGTTCCACCTGAAATCATTTTGTGTTTTGTCTTGTTTGTTGTATTGGGGCTGAGGGACTACTGTTAGGAAGAAAACTGGCCCAGACTTTCCAAAGCTGCCAATTTCTATTCCAGAAATAACTTCTTGCTTCTATTGCATAATATTTCCAATCATCATGCCATAATATATGCTACATGATCACCACTATTTTAATGTTATACACCAAGGTTGGTTTGTAACCAAATTTTAATGATAATAATAATAATAATAATCCTTTATTTATATCCTGCCCCCTCTCCTCGAGAGGGCTTGGTGTGGCTTACAACAGAAACACAATATAAATAAAAGTAGATGCATAACATATAAGATCTGGTCATTCTATTTTTGCATGTAATACTGAATAACCAGATCTTTTAAAAATCATTTTAAAATAACCATATTATACAGTTTAAAAATCGTGGTGGTGTTTACGGTGAGGAGTGGTGAGTAAGAAATATTTTATTACTTTATTATAAAATACAATTTTATTCATTTTAGTAAAGATATGTGTCTTAAAATTGAGTTCAGAGTGTTAAACACAAAGGAAGTGAAACTATGTACTTATGAAATTAATTGTTGAATCGGTACCATGGTCATGAACTCACTCATTGCACAATGGCTAATTGTCTCCCCATCCATTAAATCAAAAGTAAGAAAGCAGGCTAGTAAATGAATTGGCTGTGGTGGGGGCCACATTCACACAATCTTTGAGAAACTGCAACTGGGATTTGGTTCTCCTGTTGGATAGCAATATCCATGGAGGTTCAAATTGTATTATATTTAATGGCATAGTAAAATGGTGTTCATTCTGTGGCTGCAAATTTTTGAATAAAAAGCCCTCCAACTATAGGAAATAAACTGCAGCTCTTGTTTGAGAAGAACTGGGTTAAAAACCCTATCTAAAGCCCCATTTTGTCTAAAGCACATACATTTAAAAAGAAATTTATAACCTTCTGTATTTATATAAAACCCTCATGACTGCCTTTGAAAACAGTGTAAAAACAAGATAAAATTGCACTATGTTTGCATATTCATCTGAAAAATTCCCAGAGAGCAAGAAATTGAACATAAAATTAGCAGTCAATGAACAATAAATGGAATCAATTCACCTAGATATTGTGTTTTTTCTAATCTTTTGGCAACATCTCTGTTTGTAACTGTTGTGATGGAGAAAATTTTTGATAGTGCCTTGGACCACAAGAAGATCCAACCAGTCTGTACTTCAAGAAATAAAGGTCGACTGCTCATTGGAGGGAAGGATATTAGAGACAAAGATGAAGTACTTTGGCCACACAATGAGAAAACAGGAAAGCTTAGAGAAGACAATGATGCTGGGGAAATGGAAGGAAAAGGGAAGAGGAGCCAACCAAGGGCAAGATGCATGGATGGTATCCTTGAAGTGACTGGCTTGAATTTGAAGGAGCTGGGGGTGGTGACGGCTGACAGGGAGCTCTTGTGTGGGCTGGTACATGAGGTCACGAAGAGTCAGAAGTGACTGAACAAATAAACACCAACTATTTGTAAGCTAGTTCTTACCAGTCTTAGATAAAAGAATTTGAATACTATCTGAAAATGTATACCTTTCTCTTTAGTTCTTTGTACCAAGTGGGGAAGGGATATTTTCAAACTGTGAATACTGGTAGCTGAGCTGTGGATACAGAATCTGTGGATAGAGAGGGCTGATTGTACCTCAACAAAATTCTACCAAGGCATATTATACCATTTCATCTGGAAATACACAAATTTTGCAAAGTGTTGGAGAAATTGTGATTTTTCAAGATTTATATTATCCCTGTATGACAGTCATGTCTTGTTGAGCTCCTTTTCTGTACTCTTTGTGGAAATAGCAAACTATATGTACTGCACTATACATGCAACACTAGTGCTGAGACCATTAACCATTTGGGAGTAACAAAATGCCAAAGTGACCTCAAGGGAATCAATAGCGCTCATGTTGATAGCAGCCTGAAGGCTAATAGCGAGGCTTTGGAAAAGTACAGAGTACTTAACATTTAGGCCTTGATTAACAGAATGGTGACAAATAGCTACAGCACAGAAATTCAACTTCAATTAGCTAAAAGTCAAGCAAAAATATTATTTTACACAATATGGCATGGTTTTGTCCTTTACAGAAGTAACAGCAATACATATCAATACCCAAACCATTCCTCAGACTATGGAAAAGAGATTAATCATAAATTGTTCCCATAAAGAACTGTAAAATCTGTATAAAACTGTATAATCCATTGGCTAATAAATTTCATTTGCATTTTTGATTCATAAAGAAAAGATAATATATTTGAAAGCATTTATGCTTGTCAATAAACTATGGCAAAATAATCTATTTCTATTTTTCTTGTTTAGGGCTTGTATTTCTTTTTGTTTGTCATTACTTCTAGGTTAAAAATAACAAGAAAAAAGGAAGAGCTATAGGAAAAAATGCTTGGTTCCTGAAATGAGTAATTTTTTTAATGCAATGAAGAACAAATATTGATGACTTTATTTATTATTTATTTATTTGCTTTATTTCTATACCGCATTTTTCAGCCCAAACAGGCGACTCAATGCGGTTTTATTACTGGCATGGACATTTATTTCCAAACTCATCTTACAAAGAAAGAATGTTTTGTCCAATAATTACTATTATGCTTCCAGAACAATCTCTGCACTAGGCACAAAATACAGCACAGTGAAATCTTGCTTGGATTGTGCCCTTGCCTTTAA